CAGCACGTTGGCGCATTAGCACAACAGCTGGACTAAAAAATTGTGCGTCCGCAAGGAAACCACGACTAACACCTCGCCATCGAGAAACGAGAATGGGATTCGCTTTAGAACACGTTATTAAAGATGATGCCTTTTGGAACCGAGTTGTTTTCTCCGATGAAATAGTTTTTCCGTCATCTCCAAATGGTCGGCTAAAAGTCTACAGATCAAAAAATACCCGTTACGAAGAGAGATATGTTCAAGAAACAAAACAGAGCGGACGTTTTTCTGTGAACATGCGGGCATGGGTCTCAGCCGTTGATCCTGGCATAATCGGTTTAACAGCAACGTCTATACTAGGGTCCTCGAAGACGCAATACTCCCTTCGGTAACACGAGTGTTCCCCAACGGTGATTTTGTGTTTCAGCAGTACAATTGCTCTGTTCATACTGCACACAGGGTAGCGGCGTGGTTCGAGAACCATAATATAGACGTTATTGACTGGCCAAGTCAAAGCCCCGATCCTAACCCGATCGAGAACTTGTGGGGTCTTTTAAAACGAAATTTACAACGTCGAAATTTAGTATTTAACAATATAGAGGAGTTATTATCCGCCATCACCGATACATGGCATGAATTGCGCCAGAACTATAACAGAAATGCATGTCTCTCCATGAACACTCGATTGATGAAAGTTATACAAGCTAATGGAGCAATAACAAAATATTAATTTTAATTTGCTAATTTAGTCCAGTTAAAGGCAGACATCAAGAAGACGCTTATTATCCAACGTCATTTTTAACCTGTGATTCGTGATAAAAAAGAGTTAAACAAACTGTTATATTTGTTAAGCAAAGAATTTCAAAAGCAAAACAGTGGACTTTTCTAACCATTTGTAATGCTTGTAATATACCATTTATTTTATGTGAAGTTTTTCTTAAGGTAGGGTAAAAGCATGAAATTAAAAAAAACCTCCAAAACAATACTGATTTATAGGCAAGAAAGGACACAATTAAAAATTAAGGTTACCAGGGTATAAAGGTTGTTTCACCGCATGTGTCAGTGAATGTCAAATGGTGCCCGAAATTTTTTGTCCGCAACTGTACCAGGATTGCAAACCATAATCATCCTGAGGAGTTTTGATAAAATTTGGCTTCTTTATTGTGTGATTATCCAGAAATTGGTATCAGCATTTCTCTGTGTAATAGTTTTATGGAGTTTTACTGGAGTGAATAAGCATTTATCTGATAAGGCAAGTTCAAGGATTTTTTTTTCACAAGTTTCACTATATAGCTGGACTTCTGGTGTGTAATCACAATTTTAACAATTATACAATTTAATTTAGTGTCGAAAACATATCAGTAGATTTAAATAAAAACTTTTTATTTTTATTATGTACATTGGCTTCCCCCAAATTTGAACGGCAAAATTTAATCGTGTAATATGGGCTTTGCATCAGTGTCGTTGTCAAATTTGATAATAGTTGTCAATTGCAATATTAAAAATGCCACCCCACTTAACCGAGGCTCAGAGGTCCAGGGCAATAGCCAAATTAGAAGAAAATTGGTCTTTAATTAAAGACTTAAGTAAAGTAGCTGCTGATTTAAATGTCAGTAAAAGCTGCATATTTTATATCAAAAAACGTTGGCAAGAATAACAAAGATTAAGAAGACCTATCAGGCAAGGTGTAGGAAAAATCTCCAACGAAAATGAATACAATGCTCTTGTCGCACATATTATCCTTTCAATAGCGCAGTTAAGGCCCGAGAAGATACACAATTTCCAGGATCTCTTCGAACAGCTCAAAAAAGATTGAAACAAGCTGGTTTAAAAAACTGTAAGGTTTTTTTAACTGACGAAAATAAGCGCAGGAGAGTCCAGTTCGCCAATGACTATTTAAATTATGGAGGGGATTTTTGGAATAATGTTATATTTTCGGATGAAAAAACGTTCCAATCTTGCAATAATGGAAGGCTGCGTGTATATCGTCCCAGAAACGCAAGATTTGAGGAGAACTATACATTAAGAACCTCAAATAGTGGACGCTTTTCCATAAATGTTTGGGCGTGGATAAGTATCCATGGTCCGGGAGTATGTTGGGAAATTGATGGTAGATTAACGGCTGAGCACTATACGAGGATTTTGGACAACGTTATGCTACCTTCAGTTAGACATGTGTTTCCAGAAAACTTTATATTCCAACATGTAAGAAAACTGTATAGTATTCAAAAACGATTCTAATAAATATTATATTACAGGACAATGCACCAGTTCACACAACTCGCGTGGTTACAGAGTGGGTAAACAACAACCACATAACTGTTTTGCCATGGCCAGCTAGAAGCCCTGACTTAAACCCCATTGAAAACGTGTGGGGTTTTATAGTTAAAAATAGCAAACCGAGATGAACTATGGAGTGCGGTTGAAAATTTTTGGGATGAGCTTGCTGAGTCATACGACATGCGTGAGCTAATAATGTCCATGCCAAGAAGGTTGCAAAGGGTTGTGGCAGCTAATGGCTCTGCAATTAAGTATTAAAATAGTTTTTTAAGCCAGCTTGTTTCAATCTTTTTTGAGCTGTTTGCAAATTGTGTATCTTCTCGGGCCTTAAATGCGCTATTGAAAGGATTTTGCCTAATAAGTGCGACAAGAGCATTTTCTTCATTTTCGTTGGAGATTTTACCTACACCTTGCCTGATGGGTCTTCTCAATCTTTGTTGTTCTTGCCAACGTTTTTTGATATAAAATATGCAGCTTTTACTGACATTTAAATCTGCAGCTATTTCACTTAAAAACCAATTTTCTTGAGCAATATGTTAATTTAGTTATGTTATTTTTATTGTGTATTTACCTACTTGTTAATTTATATTGTTGTATAAAACCAAATTAAAGTTAATTTATTTGTTATATTGTTTATATTATTGATTGTTAGAATATTATTAAAAAAATAGAACGATTTAATTTAGTTATGTTATTTTTATTGTGTATTTACCTACTTGTTAATTTATATTGTTGTATAAAACCAAATTAAAGTTAATTTATTTGTTATATTGTTTATATTATTGTTTGTTAAAATATTATTAAAAAAATAGAACGATTTAGGATATTGTTCTTATTCTTAGTATTCTCCCTTCTAAGATAATAGATACCTAAATGACTCAAGGGATGAGTTAAACTTAATCATATTTAAAAAAATTAAAACATAATGAGCTGTCCAAATAGCTTTTAATTAAGCTAAAGGTTATTACCCCTGAACACAGTGCTTCTGTGTTTAGATTGAAGAATAAGAACATTACAATTAACAAACAAGAGAAGAATGAATAAATCTAACATAATCCAAAGGTTTTTATAGGTAAACAAGCACTGCACATTTCTTACACAGGGGGTCGTCGTAACTCGGTTTGATTTTTTAGAAATATTGTTTTTCTTCATAGAGATTCTCTATTCTATATTAACGCATCGATATCAAAGCGATCTGTTACTTATTACACTTAAGTATTCATAATTAATATTCGCCCATTTTTCTCTTAGACACTCTAGATCAGCCTTACTCAAACTTTTTTTTCGGGCCAAATATGTATGACTGCAACATCAGGCAACAATCATATGTAAAACTCAACAATTAAACGTTATCATTTATTTCAAAATAAATGACTTTCTGATTGTTCACATTGTGGGAAACTTTTGAAAATTTTAGTTAAATCCGGCTTCATGGTACACGACGTAAAGGTGTTAATTAGTTAGCCGATATTTATTCATATGTGAAGCGATCCAAAAAGAGATCTAACATTCAAAAATCAAATTTTACAAGATAGGCGATTAAAGTTCGCGCGGCATAGTATTTTGTGTAGTGACGCTAGACATAAAAAATGTCAATTCCCTCTGGACCTTTCGAAAAATAGTTTACCCCTGTACTTAAAATAATGATATTTTCAAAAATAATTTTTTGGACGGTAGGTCCCTTTTCTTGGATCGCGTCCAATATTTTATTTCGATGTTTTAAAGTTATTGGGTACCCTTAAATGTGCGATTGCGATTTGAGTCGATTTTAAATTCAATAACTTTGCGTTGTCAAATCGCAATGTAGCAAGTTGTTTGATAGCAGCGATTTGTAAGTGCCAAGGATTTATACTAACACAAGATTAACAAATGACTTTTAGCGGGTGTTTGCCAACCCGCGCCCCGCGACTTAATTCCCACCATTTCCTACAAAAACGTATTAGATGGGCTCGTCTAAGGCCGTGTATTCTCTAACTATTCAAAGAATTTCTCACTCACTCAGTCAAAGTTGGAAAGACTCTACTGTACTTGGTTGCTCCACAATCAATAAAAATCGTCTCATATTACAGAAAAAATATTGCCTCTTTCTTTGCGGCCCAAAGCCTAGCCACGGTACTTTTTAGATAAAAAATAATAATTTCAAACACTTATTTATTTTTTTTTATCTAAAAAGTACTGTGGCTAGGCTTTGGGCCGCAAAGAAAGAGTTGGGAGCGGCATGCGGCCCGCAGTTTAAGTATGCCTGCTCTAATTTTTTTTGTTATTTTTTTTCATAATTAAAACTAATTTTTTCCATCACTAAAACTAAGTATTTATTAAAAACCATACGTGACTCGCTCCGAGGAACCTAAGCGTTCAAAATCGATTTGTGAATTAGGATTGTTATAGATTATTAATTAAAAAGTCAGATATAATTGTCCTTGAATATTTTGCATGTAACAACGCGTTAAACATTCTCCGTTTATGGTGCCACCTGGCGGGGTCGCCTGTTCTATCCTTTATCATTTAAAATTAGCGCTGGGATGCGTTCTCAAAGCGCGTCACATATTGTTTACAGAAAATAATGAAAGATATTAATGCAACTGTAGATATGCACTCAGATTTAAAACTACGTTAAAAATACGCTTTAACAGCAAAAAAAAACAGCTTTTTATAAAATACCACCTGAATACCCGCAAAAATCAAAAATAAAATAAAAAACACACACACTTTGACATTTAACTATTATTTAGCATACTTACGCAGTCTTTCAACCATGCCTGCCAGTCTTTGATTCCTCCTCCCCCTCCACCTTGCCCTGTTGCCGTTTTAGGCTTAGGTTCGGCTTCAAAAGTCCCCATAGTAGACTTTGGAGCCTGGAATGTATCCCTCTTGTCCACAGTCAAGTCATTTATTAACTCTTTGGCAGTATTGATACTGCCTGGATCACCAAAAATTTTAATAATGGTACTGTTGCCATCAGTCTCTTTAGTTACTTGAATCCTGGCCCCCGAATTGTACTGCAAGTCGCTGATTTTTGACCCCCCTCTGCCTAATGTATCATAGTTTTGTTAAAATGTCCTAATTTTAGCAAAACTATTTTAGAAATTAAGAAAATAGGGCTTACATAATTAAGTACAAATTTTATCCTTAAAAAATGCTACTTTTTTAGGTTAATTTGAGTACACTGAATCCAAAAATGACCATCATTTTGCCTAATCAGCCCTTTTTTTTAAATATTTTTTTTTCATATTTGTGTAAACAAGTAGGTATAATAATAGGGTAAAGTAGACAGTTATCGGACACTTTATAGTTATTGAACAATTAACATTAATACTGTAAAAACAAGAGTTCTATAAATAGTTACCTTAAAGTCAAATCATTAGATGATGCTGTATACAATTAAGAACTATCTCAGTCGGGAATAATATAGAACTACTTTATTTTGGGTCCAATATAGGACACGTTACTTTGGTGGTAAGATTTTTGTTTTTTTGTTAAGAGCAGGGCTTTGTTTAAATTACAATAAAAAATATTTCTAAAAGTGTACAGATCAGTGTGTGGTATAAATGTGTTCCTCATGGTTTAAACCGAGGTTTAAACATTGTCACTTTAATACGTTTTAATTTTAATTCTGAAAACAAATAGTAAAATGGCCAGTGTTCAATTACTGGTTCGTAAAAATTGTAAATTTCTATTATTGGACATATATGTCCAATATCATACCCTATTTATATCTTCTTATATTAATTCTTATGTAAAATTGTCCCCTGAATCCGAAAAGACCATCAAAAACTATAAAAGTTAAGCAGTTTTTGAGATATAGTCAATTCCATGTTATATGTAAAATTGATTATATTTCAAAAACTGTTCTACTTTTATAACTTTTGACGACATTTTCGGATTCAGCGAATAATATTTCATAGGAATTGACTGCTAAATGTCCTGGTCCAGGACTCCTGGATACAAATTGCTGTTGACGAGAATTATTACTGGCTGCTTTTTCGCTATGACATTTTTGACTAATTCATTTTTAGAGAGTACCTAAGTAATATAGTGATTTCTTCGTCACAGGACATCTTGCAGAATAACAGTGATTTAAATACAGTTTATGATAGAGAACATAAAAAACTAATGGCAACAAAATTAACAAATTCGGAAAATACATAATAAATTCCACCCGTAAAAATATTAGATATTTATAAATTATCCTGTTCGGGCCTAAACATTATAAATGCTTCACAAACTAGAGATACCACACTTAATGATATATGCAACAAACTATTTTAGAAGTCAGACCAAGGAATTAGTAGTTACCTTCAGAATCCAGAAAAGAGATGAGGAATCCGAGAAAGAAATATATGATATTTACAAAAACAAAATAAAAAAAATTATATAAAACAGCAATTTATCTTTAAAAATAATTAACAATTTAAGTTATTTGATGTAAAGTTGTTATGATTATATAAAAATTGTATGTCCAATAACTATGGTCCATATGTCCAATTACTATATAAAATGTCCAATTACTATACTTTTTTGCATGTTTTTATAAGACTATTATTAAAAATTGAAATATTCTTATTTTTAAGTAAACGTAAATAAAGTTTAAACAAACAAACTATCCTTTTTATATATTTATAAGAAAAAAACTAAAATTTTTAAAACAACGGCATATATAAATTTTAAATAAATAATATTCCCCAAGTGTCCTATGTTGTTTATTATACAGTATATTTTTAATTAAATATGTACTTTAACCAATATAAGTAATGTAGCTGTGAATAAATTATGTGCATTCATTCAGTTATTCCCTTCTAAATCTTTACTTTTTGGAAACATTGTCTTACCAATGACACGGCCAACACAGTTTGAAGGAACTTTGATAATTTCCATTTTGTCACCCCCATTTCTTCTGTCCCCGTCATTTTTTCCCCTGCCTCGGTTCTGGAAACTTTGCCCCTGGCCGTTCCATTCGTTGGATTCCTCTCCATTCCTCCAGGTTCCACTCTGCTGTTTTGTGTCTTCCGTGTTTTGATTCCAATTATCCCACGCTTGCGAATTCGTGTCGGGTTTTTGCGCAAAAGCTGGAGCAACGTATTGCGGCTGGTAATTTAACGAATCATCCCACTCGTCCATGCTTTTTAACTATTTTTTCAATGTTTCCGGCAAATTACAAGCTAACTTAACCTACCAGATCTTAGGAACACACCAAAAGGTCTACCAACTGTGTGTTACAGAGACAAGTCTCTGGTGTGTTACACACCATGGTGTATCTGCAGATACCTTGTCTCTGTTACACACTGTCAAACAGTATTGGTCCAACAACCGACGTATTGGGATTATTGCGATTATTTTACATTATTTTTTATCATTAATACTGAGCACCATACATAATAAAACAAGACAGAAAGCACACAATAACAATATAAATGAGGTATTTATTAAGTTATTGTTAGTTTTTTAATATTTACACAGCCTTAAAAGCAAAGTAAATTTTAAATTTTCCATTTTCATAATAAAATTTTAAAATAAACTGTTGACAATGCTGCCAACATAACTGCCACCTTTCCACTAACTAGAGAAAAAATTTGTGCATCAGATTTTTACGTCATTTGTCTTCAATTGTTTATGTGCATTATATTCTCTAACAATTATTGTAAAATTTGTCTTATACTTAAATTATTTTTTGTTTATACATATTATAAAGTGTAAGTACATAATATAGGATTAATAGTGGCGTTTTGGTGCTTTAATAAGTAATTTTCATTAAAATATATGCCCGGCATGATTCACCGCCATCCTTAAAAGTTAAGCTACGTGGCTCTTATTTCCGCGACAAATATTTAAAAGTTCCATTAAAGCCATTTTAAACCCTTTATTAATGTAAATACTTGAAATTAACCGCTCAATTACAAGTAACATTTCGAAATCTAATCATAAAATTAATTGCTCATATCCAATGGAATTCTAACTGTACAATTTGCACAGCTTGCTTGATTTCAATATTCTTCATTAAAAATCAGTATTTGCAAGCTTGCATAATAGCAACTAATAGTATTTTTCCCATATTGTTACAGTTTAAATGGATATTTCAACCCCAATAATATTTATTGGCATATTTATTATAGCATGTGTATCGTTATTTTTGGTTTTTAAATTTGGTATTAAAGAAAAGAGTTATGAGGAGGCTGTGGCAGAGCAGAGGCAGCAAACAAATGCCTTGTTGGGTGTGAGGGCAAAACCAAAGGAAAAGAAGAGCAAAAAGAGCTCCAAAAAGGTATTTTTATGTTTTTTTGTTGAACTTTCAAACTTAATTTATTCTATTTTAGCCTAAAGATAAATCATCACTGGAAAATGATGGTGATGAAATTGTTGAAACTACAAATACTAAACATGTAGGATTTAAAGAAAAACCGGAAATTTTAAATTTACCCAAGGAGCCAAGTCCTGTTAAGGTAAGAAATATTAGTTTTTATTATTTTTTTTGTATGGGATTTACCTAAATTCAAAATTCACAAAATGAACAAAAAATAATAAATTAATTTAAATAATCTTGAAAGTAAGGCTAATTTAAATAGATAAATAAAATGCAAACAGAATTTTAAGTTTAATTTTTAACAGGATGAGTGTTATAAAAAACACAAGAAAGGTTTATAAAAAGCTACAATTTTGATACAATTTAATAACAAACAACTTTACTTTTGTTTATTATAAAAAAGGAAAATAGTATATTATTATGCGAGAGATAATGCAGGTAAATATTCACGAGGATGAGAGACCTAAATTATCCGAGTGAATATTGCCCATAATCTCGAGTGTAATAGTATACTTTATCTACTCCTATAAGTAGATAATTAAATGATTTTCAAAATTAATCAAATAAAATCTGACATCTGTCAAATGGTTAGCCTTACTTTTTACCAATTTTAAATATTATTATTTTCACCTTCTTCCAATTTAAAACTTGATTGGTTCAAATCACAGTGACTACTGAAATCGGCCAATCACTGATGCCTAACAACGTGAATACTGAGTTTATTATTCACGTTGTTGGGCAGAAAATTTATAATGCTAAACAATATTCACGGAAAAACACCAAAATTATGCAATAGGAGTAGATAAATTATTTTTTTTTTTAAGTTTTTTTGGCTTTTAGGCTTTTTCAGCCTATTTAGCCAGCACATTATATGTATTTTTGTCTTAATAAACAATCACAACACCCAGGGCTGTGACCGGGAATCGAACCCGGTACCGTTAGACGCAGATTGCACAGCTTTGTAGCCTAACCCACTGCGCCATCCTCGGATAAATTATGATTTTTAAAACAAACTGTCAAAAATACATTTGACAATCATGTCATTAGTTTGACAAGTAAATAACCTCATTGGTTTATTTTTATCATTTCTTCCTACAGACATTAATATTATCTTTTATATAATTTTTTAAATTAAATGAGAGGTTTAAAGTATTAAAAAATCCTGGCAAAACTGTGGCTGTCATGACAGCCAGGATTTTTTAATACTTTAAACCTCTCATTTAATTTAAAAAATTATATAATAGATAATTTACTTTTTTATATTTATGTCTGTAGGAAGAAATGATAAAAATTAATCAAATAATTGAATAATCTTTACTCCAAATGTTACACCCACTTAATTTAAATTTTATACCAAAATTATCTCTCATTTTAAAAAAAATTGACACATTTCTATAATAAAAACTCTTATGTATATATTTTGGAAAAAATTATTAAAAAGTGCCTAATATTAAAACAAATATTATTATTTTTTGGTTTTTACTTCTAAATATTAAAAATAAAGAAAAATCATAATTTACTAAAGAAAAAATTATTTTAAAATGTTGGTAATTTGATAAGAAATATTAACTCTAAAATATTATGATAAATAAAGAGGCTGTCCATAAATCTTGTGACGCTGGAAGGGGAAGGGGACCATCAGGATTTGTAACGCCCGGGAGGGGGAGGGTTTTTAAACTCTTAACATAGTAAATCAAATAAAATTACTTATTTATTCCATTTTTAGTCAGATTATACAAAAAAAAAAGAATCGGAAAAATATTTATTCAGAGGGTAGGGTTTTATAATTCGTCACGTGATCCTTTGGGGTCTTCACATCGTCAAATTCGTCGTCACGAGATTTATAAGGATAAACATTAAAAACCAAACATTACATAAAATAAAAAGAGAATTAACAATATATTTTTTTAACATTAGAAGGAAGAAATAAAAGAGAAAGTAACTAAACAAGAAAAAAAGAGTGTAAATCTGGAAAGTGAACCCATAAAGGCAAAAAAAGAAAAAGTAAAACAACCTGCACCAGTCACTGAAAAAATTGAAACTGCCGCTGTAAAACATATAGTGGAAAAAAAAGAAAAAGCAGTAGTTGAGAAAATTGAAGAAAAGAAAATAGAAAAAACTGAAGTGACACCTGTTGCTGCCCCAACTTTGACTGTCAACACTGCCAAGGAAAAAAAGAAAAAGAAAAGCGAATTCAACACTTTACAGCAGATAAGTAAGTAGCTTTTGCCGAATATTTAAAAAAATCAAGTTTTAATGCATTGATGTGCATCTTAAAAAACCTGATTTTTTTTTCAGTAACTTATTAATGCCTTTTAAAGATAATGTTACAGTTTCATGCAGGTATAAGGTATACTATTATAGGTTCCTTCCATAAAAATCATTTTTGATTAATTTAGCGTTTTTTTTGCGATTGTGCAGCCGCTGAGAGGGACGGACTTCATAATTTGGTGCGTAAAGCTGAATTGTCTAGACTTGAGATACAGACACTTATTGAACTCTTACTGAACAAGCAGCATGAGGCCCCTTCCATTGTTGAGGACTGGAGTGAGGTAAGTCTTTTTTTAAATTGTCACATTACCATTTCTTCACAAAACATTTTTTATTTCACCCAAAAATATTTTAAATTAAACAAAACTTTTATAAAGGTAATATGAAAAAAAGTTGGGCCCATATGTGGTCAAAATGCGATCACTAATTTATAATTTTCTTTTGCAACAGGAATAATGAACTCAATATTTACGTTGTTAGGCATCAGTGATTGGCTGATTTCAATATTCAGTTATTTAAACCAATCGGGTTTTAGATTGGGAAAAAGTAAGGTTAACAGATGTCAGATTTTTTATATTTCGATGTGACTAGAGGCACGCTAACGTGCCGCTATTCGAAATGTTAAAGGCACGTTAGTTACGTCATAATTATTTTACGACGTAAAATTTACGTCATAATTTTAAGATTTTATGTTACGATAAAACTAAAACAAACTAACCAACCCCACACTTTTTAACAAAGAAACAACAAATTTATGAAATAAAATAAAAAAAGTTCGACAACTTCTAAGTATCGAACTCGGTACCTCTAGCATGCTAAGCAACCGCCCTACCATCTGAGCTATCTAGCTTGACATCAATTTTATAACGCTCGGGAAATAAAAACGGATTATTATTATGACGTAACTAACATGCCTTTAACCAAAGATAATATATTATCTTTGCCTTTGACATTTTGAATCACGGCACGTTAGCGTACCTCTAGTCAAAGCGTTTATATTTACGAGGGGCAACCATAATGATCGAGAGAAAGCGAAGTTATAATAAATTTTGTTATTAATAAAAATTATTTAATTGGAGTAGAAAAAAGCATAGTATTACACTAGAAATAATGGGCGTTATTCACAAGGATGATTTACTTCTCTCTCCTGACTTCTCGAAACGCAAATCTCATCCTTTTGAATAATAGCAACAAACCATGAACAAAACAACTTGCCCGGTATTTATAGATGTTATCAATGGACATTATTCTTAAGGTAGTGTAAAGATCTTCTGAATTCAAGGTATCATTAATGATACCTTGAATTTAAACAGTACAGGTGGACTTGTTTTAAAGGATTTCTAAGGGCCTTTCATTTCAATCAATATTAGTGTTTTTCCCGAGTAATGAACAATAAACAAAACAATTCACCTGTTATTTATACATTTTATTAATGGACATTATTTTAAAGTTAGTGTAAAGATTTTCTGAATGATACCTTGAATGTAAACAGTTTACTTGTTTTAAAAGATTTTTAAGGGGCCTTATGGTGCCAGCAGCAGGGCTACGAGTGTACGAGTAGGCCTAGGTGGGCACTTGCCCACCCTTAAAACTGTGCCCACCCAGTTTAGGTTAGATTGATGAAAATTTATACAAAATGCCACGATATTTTTTGACAGAATCTGGTAACCCTGCCGATAGCAAATAACTCAAGGAAAAATATATATTGATATCCCTATATAGCAACCATAAAACATTTGACAAAATTTTGTTAAAACCTATGTGGTCCTATGGAAGAAAAACTAATTTCTACATTTATGTTTATTTTCCCTATTAAGACTGATAGTAAACAAATCAAGGAAGGATATCCCTATAGAACAACCTTAAATCCCAACTATGGGTCCTATACATACCGATACACCCTATAGAAACACCATACAATCCGATACAAAAATCTATCGGTTTGAACAGGGTCTCTCTGTGACATTTTAACCAGGGATGCTTCTTCAATATCTAGAAGCGCGCCCAGAGCCTTTTTTTTAGGACGGGTCCCTCTCTCCAGTCTTGTCACAAAGCTGTGTCTCCGTCGACTTGGCTGTCCTGTAGGCGTGTTGATTAGGATGCATGGGCATTCTTTTTGAATATGTCCACCAGTTTCTCCATAGTTTTTAAAAGAAACGAGGATAGACTGATGGGTCTATAATCCTTAGCCGTCTCGTAGTTACAACGTCCTGGCTTGGGGAAGAACACCACTCGAACCTTTTGCCAGGATTGTGGAACGCTCTGAAGAGGCATATCAAGTGCGGGGTCAGTGGTTCTAGTCACTTTTGTAAGAGAGCCGGAAAGATGCCATCTGGTCCCGCGCTTTTAAAAAATCCAAATGAGTGGATAGCCCACTTTATGGAGCCTTTTGTCACCACCTTTGCAGCCAACTTCTAGTCAGTTTGCCTTACGCGAGCTGGTGGCGCTTGCCTTGGTGGTTCGACAGTTTGCAGGATTTTTGATTCTGGAAAGTCAGTTTCCAGAAGCCATTCCTCCGCGGTGGTGCTATAGTGTCCAACTCTCGTCCTGGATCCTTTGAGAGAATCTTTTGAAGCTTGGCTGCTGCTGGAAGCTCGTCTACGTTATCGCAGAACGTCCTCCAAGATTCTCTGCGCTCAGACTGCTTGTGGCTGTCCCAATGCGCAAGTGATTTAGACTAGTAAAGGGAGAATCGAATGATATTTAGAATCGAATAATTTGCATTCGAATACTCTAAAGAATCGAATGATCATTCGAATGCAGAGAATCCAATAGTTTGTTCCGAATCGGAACCGATAATAGCCGAAAACATTTATTGAATGAATGTTTTCGGAACAAATTATTCGATTCTCTGTATTCGAATGGTCATTTTATTTCTTGTTTACAATTCGTTATGGGCTAAGCGGGTTGGCTTCGCACTGGGTGCAATATAAATTCTAAACGGGCTGATATACCTACTAATTGATTTATGACAGCTTTTCTTTATTTTTGACATAAAACATAAACTATATTATTTTTAATTTGTTTTATTTCAAAAAACGTTTTGCAGAATAATTCTGTGGGTAAAAGGCATAAGGGGATAAGTCAAAAAAAGCAATTTTTGGTAGAGACTTCAACGTGTTCGCATTAATTCAGGAAATATATTTATGGTTAGCGAGCATACCCTTTTGCTAGCATATGACATGTGCTGGCAAAAGGATATACCCGCTAACCATAAATGTATTTCCTAAATTAATGCGAACACGTTTAAGGCACTACTAAAAAATTGATAGTTTTGACTTATCCCCTTATAGGGAATTATTATTAGTTACTTTGTTTGTTACTTTTTTTTATATATTTTTTCAGTTACTTTTTATATACAGGGTGTCCCAGAACTCGCGCCACAGAGAAAAAGGGGGCGTGCCGATAGCAATGGAGATGCCAAATTTAAAAATAAAAAATTTCTAGGTAATAGTGTAACCCAACAGTCACGTACGAGTGCTCGTCAAAGTTAGTCGCATCTGGCATCTTGCCGTCGCGCTCTTGAAACTTACAAACAGCAATACTCGCAATGATTGCTTATAAAGTGCAAATAGTCTGTAGTGTGGCAACTAGTGTTTCTGTAGTCCACCCTAAGGTTTCTGTATCTGGGAAAAAGTTTTTTCAAAAACCATAACCAACAAATAAGCCCTCTTAGTGCAAACAACTATAGTGTAACAATTACAGTGAGTACAGACTACTCTTCTGTCAATAATTAGTTAAGGGCCAAGTGAAAAGGAAAAGTGAAGTGAAGTGACAAGTGCAAACGTACATAGTGAAACTGTCGCACCATCTGTCAACAGGATGTTTTTCACTGGTCAAACAAAAGAGGCCAAACAAAGGAGGAACAGGCCACCTGCAAATTATTGCTAAGTATTCTCAATTCAATCGCATGACCTAACACATAATTTGCAAATTAAACTAAACAAGGCACATTGCCTAACCCCTACAAAAAACAATAATCATCGGCAACAAATAAAATAAAAAGTCAATTTTCCAAGAAAAAACCAAACAGCCGATCGCGGTCACACACCAAAGTTGAACAGGGCAATAAAGCTGTCAACAAAAAATTCAAGAATAACAAACCGAGACCAAATAAATTTGACACTTAAGACATAACACATAAACTAAGAAAACATAAACAAAGTAAAAAAAAGCCCCCTAATCAATATCCATGGAATTTGTAAACACTAGACCTTGGGAACTGCCTTATCGCAGCGATTGCGGTCTTACGCTCGGCACGCGTGATGGGCTCCTCCGCGGGGGGGTGCAGCCTCCCGTGGCCTCTCCGGGGGATGGTCTACACCAGTGTTGCCAGATTGGGCGATTTATCACAAATTGGGCGATGTCGAATGTAAATATGAACATAAAGAAGATTGTACGCTGATTGTAAATGTTAACTAAACGACGTTATTTAAAAAATCATGCGTGAATGTTCAATTACTTTTATTTTACAAGTAAAATTCACAATGACATGAAATTTTTATCTGGCAACACTGGTCTACACAACGGTAGTCGTAGTACGATTGCCGTTGTGTGGATTGTCTTCCGGGGGAGCCGCGGGGGGTTGTATTTCTTTGCGAGGGAGTTTATCATGTGTGTCGATTATCGTACCAGCGGCAACAAACGGCCTAAACACCTGCGCGCTAACTAAAGCAAACAGACAAAAATAAGCAAACTTGAACGGAAGATCATTACACTACTAACGACAGACTTACCCGACTACCATCTACAACATCCCCGCGACCTGCTAATGGGAAAAACCATTACCAAAAGGGGAAGAATAGCCCAATTAAAATACTGGGCCCAAGTCACTCGTAGACAACGCAACAGCATACTACAAGCCACCCTTAAACTAGATCTTAAAGACAAAAAAGTCGGTAGACCATGCTTCACATCTCATGACACGTTAGCACAAAACATGCA